CACTAATTGGAAAATTTTGGTGATTAAATTCAATTAGGAAGGAGAAATAGTTACTCTGCAGGGAGACCCTTCATTGGGCAAGACCTTGGTTTCACTTAAGGGGATGATAAAAACACTACAAACTGAGGGCACTAGGTATTTGATTAAGTTTGGGAACCTATAGGTGTGGCCAAAGCATGAGACTAGTGAGGATAGGAGACTTCAGGAGCTACTCCGCCATCATGAAGATGTGTTTGAGCCTACACCAAGACTACTGCCAAACAGGGGGCACGATCAAGCCATTAAGCTGTTACCAGGAAGTAAACCTCCCAATATCCGGCCCTACCAGTACCCCTACCATTTGAAGAATGAGATTGAGAACATTGTTAGGAAGATGTCGGCATCTAGAATCATTAAGCCAAGCAAAAGTCCCTTTTCCAGTCCAATCTTACTAGTGTGCAAAAAGGATGGGGGGTGGCGCTTTTGTGTTGATTATAGGGCCTTAATTAAGATAAATGTTCCGGATAAATTCCCCATTCCTAAGGTGGATGAGTTATTTGATGAGTTGGGGGAAGCCACGGTTTTTTCTAAACTTGATCTCAAGTTTGGGTTTCATCAGATCAGAGTGAGAGAAAATGATACCCACAAGACAACCTTTAGAATGCATGAGGGTTATTACAAATTTCTTTTGATGCCATTCGGCCTGTCCAATGCCCCATCTACTTTCCAGGCCCTCATAAAGGACATATTCAAGCCTTATCTCAGACGGTTCATCCTTGTCTTTTTCTATGACATCTTGGCCTATAGTGCTAATATGGAAGATCACTTGGGTCACTTAGAAGTCACCTTTCAGATTTTAAGGAACATCGGTTGGTGGTTAATCGAAAAAAATGCACATTTGTGCAGGTCCAGCTGGATTACTTGGGACACATCATTTCAGCTCAAGGTGTTGTCGTAGACCCATCAAAGATTGAATGTATTTTGGCTTGGCCAACACCGAAAGATATTAAGGCACTACAGGGGTTCTTAGGATTGACCGGTTACTATAGAAAGTTTGTCCAAGGGTATGGTTCTCGGGCAAAACCCTTAACTGATCTCCTCTGTAAGAATGCGTTCTCTTGGTCCAAAGCTGTGCAATCTGTCTTTGATGAGTTGAAACAAGTGATGACTACACTATCAATTCTAGCTATGCCAAAATTCCTTATCGAAACTGATGCATCTGGGCAAGGAATTGGGGTGGTATTGATGCAGGATGGCAGACCAATAGCATTCATCAGCCAAGGTCTCTCCTCTCAATCCCTGTTAAAGTCTGTGTATGAGCGGAATTGATGGCTATCGTCTTTGCCATCCAAAAATGGAAACACTACCTCCTCGGTTGTCATTTTATCATCCAAACCAATCAACGGAGCCTACATTACCTTAATGGTCAAAAGTTACAGGGTGAGGAGCAACAACGGTGGATCATCAAGCTTTTAGGCCTTGATTTCAAAATTTAGTACAAGCCGGGAGTAGAGAATAAGGCTATTGATGCCCTGTCAAGGAAGGAAGAGTTGGTCGAGTACAATGCCCTATGCACTTGCTACTTTGCTAACCAGGCCGAGCTGGAAGATATGGTTCAAAAAGATGATAAACTCCACAAGATTTATTAAGATTTGATAACTAATCCGCACAGCCATCAGAACTATCGGCTCCTCGGACACCAACTTTACTTTGATAAACGCTTGGTTCTGCCCAAGTCTTGCCCCTAAGTCAGGTTGCTTCTTCAAGAATTCCATTCCTCACCTATGGGAGGTCATTCTGGATTTTTCTGGACTTACAAGAGGCGGTCACAAGTGGTATATTGGGATGGGATGAAAGCCAATATTCAGAAGTATGTTCGGGACTGCCCAACATACCAACAAAACAAGTATGACAATCTTCGTCCTACGAGTTTATTGCAGCCATTACCTGTCCCATCTCAAGTTTGGGAGGATGTGTCGATGGATTTCATTTGTAGGCTTCCGAAGGTTAATCGGATTGACATCATACTAGTGGTAGTGGACCGGCTTACCAAGTATAGTCATTTCTTCACTCCTCAGCACCCTTTTACAGGCAAAGAAATAGCCTCACTCTTTATCTCAAACGTGGTCAAGTTACATGGGTTTCCCCGCACAATAGTATCTGACAAGGACCACATCTTTATGAGTGTTTTCTGGAAGGAATTGTTCAAGCAATCTAGGACTCAACTACATATGAGCACAGCCTACCATCCTCAATCAAACGGCCAGACCGAGGTTGTAAATCTGTGTGTTGAGACATACTTGCGATGTTTTGTGGGGCAACAATCAAGATAATGACCAAAATGGCTTGCCTGGGCAGAATATTGGTTCAACACTACCTATAATCGATCAGTTGGAATGTCCACTTTTCGGGCTTTGTATGGTAGGGACCCACCTGCCCTTCTTAAGTATCAAGGACATGGTTTTGTGGTAGAAGCTGTGGACAAATTAATGACAGAACGCAATCTGATCTTAGAGGAACTAAAACTGAATCTGGACAAGGCACAAAACATTATGAAAGCTCATGCAGATGGAAAGAGGAGAGAGGTTAGTTTTGAAGTGGGGCAGTGGGTTTATCTTAAGCTACAACCATATCGAGCAAAATCCTTCGCTAAGAGAGCCAATGAGAAACTTAGTCCCAAGTTCTTTGGACCTTATGAGATCATCGAGAAGATAGGCCCTGTCGCCTACAAATTAAGCTTGCCTTCGACAGCCCAAATTCATAATGTGTTCCATGTGTCCTAGTTGAAGCAGGTCACTTCTTACCCCCTTAATAGACTTCCCATTCCAGATCTTATTGATAGTGATATGGTGCTGAAGTGGAACCTGAACAAGTCCTTCAGATGTGTCGGTTACTCAATGACACTTATGAGGTGCTTATTAAATGGAAGAATTTGCCACCTTGTGACAACACATGGGAAGCCTATGACTCGAAACGCCACCAGTTCCCCTCTTTTCACCTTGAGGGCACTTCTTTTGGGAAAGGGGGGGGGGGGAGTGGGGGTGGGGTAATGATGGATCCAGGCCCAATTTTCAATTAAGTATAGACGTAGGGCTAGGAAGGGACAAAAGGTGTAATTTGATGCTATAGACAGGTGGCAAGGTTAGTTAGGGTTTGGTGTCAGATAAAAAGAGAGCGTGAGAGTGTGGGAGGATATTCTGATTTTTGGTGTGGATGTGTGTCCTGGGAGGTGTTGGCCCTCGAAGACCAGTCTGTCTCTTTTTTTCATTTGGTTTCATTTGTTTCTACTACTTTCAAGAATATTACATGAATTATTATTCTCATTTCACTTCATCCCTCTATTGAGAATATATTGGTTTGCTACTGTTATATTGGCTTGCTACTGTGTGCATTTGTGTGTGTTATTATGAGAAAGTGCAGGTTGAGTCTGGGATTGTGTGTGTGAAAGGGAGGTATTCATCATTATCACTCTCTATTTGTGGAAGTGAATCCGCAGGGGGTCCTCAGTCAGATGATCCCCCATTGTCAATACTAGAAACATACCTCCTAATAGTTCGTCTTCATAGAGCATAATTCTGCTTTCCAAGTAACTTCCTATTAGTAATCTTTGTAGATGAGTGGACTGAAATTTCAGACACCACCTATTTACCTTCCGCTGCCATAGCTTAATCAAACCAACAATGATTCTCTACTAAGCTCACAGACAAGATCATCTCTAATCACCAATATCCAGCAAACCCAAATCACCAATTCACAACAAATTCACGACTCAAATCCAACACCACAACCAGAACAATCATCAAATAAACATAAAAAAAGGAACATAATAACTGGAACTGCAGAATAATAAAAATAGATCACCAACCGGAAAACAGGAGACGCGATAGACTTAGTCGCCAGAAAAAGTAACAACCATGAACAGTGTCTTGTGAACAGTTCGAGTGAACAGTATTGTGTGAACAGTGCCATCGGCCACCAAAACAAAACCCTAAGACCGGTGCTCTAATACCATGTGATAAAATATTCTACTGCAGTTTATTTAATAATCAAATAAAATAATATTACACCCTATATATATTTTCTCTACCTTACATTTACACATATACCCCTAACTCTATACACATAACTTCTATCAGATTTGATTAAGTATGTTCCTATTAGGAGTCTTAAACTTGTTACCCGTTCAACAAACTTTAAGCCTTTTTTAATTTTATTTTAATTTTTAATTTTTTAATGCATTTGGCATAAAATGTGTGCCTTGTCTTGGTACTGTGTAGGAAAAGGGATGAAGACTGGCAAATGGATGACATTGTTCACACACTGACCAACAGAAGGTGGTTAGAAAATGTGTTGCTTATGCTGAAAGTCACGACCAAGCTTTGGTTGGTGACAAAACAACTGCGTTCTGGTTGATGGACAAGGTTAGTTGTGTTCTTACTACTTATAGCATACAAAATAACATAGACCTTAGCCGTACTCTTACTTATCTACATATTGTTCACGCTGAAGGACACAGCGTACACACCTTTACATGTGCCGTAGAAATGCTTTTTGGTTCTACAATAATAACTTTGGATCTGTCTAAATAAAATTATTGTCAGACACCTCTGCTCTGTAGTTCATTGCTTTTTTGTGTTTTGACAAACTAATTTTGTTATTTATGCTATACAAACTAAATGTCCACATCGGCATTGCACAACATATTTATTTGATGGAGCTGCTAATATTTCTTTAATGAAATTTAAATTACAAGCCTATTCCCTCATTATATCTCTTCTTAAAAGTCCATTCAAATAATTTATAGAGCATGTTATCAAATATGTTTCTTTCGATGCACAGTTGGTACCACTTGCATGAGAAAACTTTAGTGAGAAAATGGTGAGAAGACGATTCTTCTTCGGTGTCAAATCCTAGTTCTTCTAGAGCTGCCCTACCCCCTAGACCTAGTTCAGCAAAGCTCAAATCATCTGTGAGGAATTTGCTTCGTCAGAGGAGCTTTAGAACAAAAAATTTGTTTCAAGATGGTTCTCATCATCCCGGATTCACCATCATCAGTTGATAAGCCTTCTACATCGATATCATTTTCTCTTAATAAGGTTTTTTCCTCTTCATCATGTAAAGCCGCACATTCTTGACTGGCTACACCAATTGCAAAGTCAGAATCTGTACAGGAACCACATCTTGCTATTCAATCTGATATTTCTGTAAATACCTTTGCCTGATGGAGATATGTGTTTTATTTTAACCTTTGAATGACATGATATTATGTTTTTTTGTTTTAGAAATCAGAAGTTCAGCATCATATGACACGCTCATTGTCAGTTCCGGTGAATACTAAAGTGAGAAGTTTAAGGCGGACTGAATCTGGTGGAGGTTTAATCCGTGTAATTTCTACGACTCCTCGTTCTGCAGCTGCTGAGAAGACATCAGTGAATGATGACTCAGCAACTGAAACCGGTAAATGCTAAGTTTTCCTTCATAGGATTTTAAGTGTACAACTTTGAAGTGAGAAAAACATATTTGCCAGTAATATTGTAGACTCCAAGTCCTGACTGGAGGGTCATGATGGTCTCTACCCTACTTTCCATAATTAATTCAATTGTAAGTTTTACTTATGGTATTGTAGTCTGTACAATGTAGCTTAATAGGTTTCACTTGATGCAATTTTTCCACATTAAATTAAGTTGTTAGGGTGGAACTACAATACTCTCCTGCCAAATGGGGGAACCGATAGTTTTTATTCAGAAATTTACATCTCTATCTCTTTATTTATGGTTTTTCATTAATTTCAATTTAGTTTTCATCAATTTGGCATTTGAGCAAAGTTTTTATTTTTGAGGATAAAACTTCGCATTATCTCAATAGACTTGATGGCACTTGAACTTCATAGCTGTTTGAGTCACTTACATTGAGAAAAGTGGGGTGTGTTTATTCCCAAAGGGTGCAAACAATTTGACTTGGACATATAATTCTGCTTGTCCTACCTGAATTCCTTACAAGAGAAAAGAAATTAAAAGAATTATAAATACTTCAAGTTGAGGTCCAAATTTAAAGTAAACACGTTTAAGGTTCAAGTTTGTGGATTTTACCTTTTTGTTAATGGACTTAAACTTATTAAGATTTTGGACATTTTTCTTCTTTCCACTATGTGCACAGCTTAAGATTTCACTGCTTGCAACTTTCGCTAGTTTGGGTTGGGGCATTGTGGCGCTTCCGTTTGCCAAAAAATTGTGATGCCTTCTTAGTTCACCTTCCAGTATTAGTTTTATTTCTTGTTTTGTGAGTAATCTTGTTAAAATAAGTAGTTGATTTGCTGTTTTATGACATACTTGTTTCAGCTAGTGAAGATGCAGGTGAAGATATTTCTGAAGAAGAAGCAGTTTGCAGAATTTGTTTTGCTGAGCTTGGGGAAGGAGGTGACATGTTTAAGATGGAGTGTAGCTATAAAGGGGAGCTTGCACTTGCTCACAAAGATTGTGTAGTGAAGTGGTTCAGCATCAAGGGAAACAAGACATGTGATGTCTGCAAGCAGGATGTCCAGAACCTACCAGGGACATTATTAAAAATAAAAAATCCTCAAAATGTTGTCAGGCCGCCAGCATCTGTTATTCAGCAGAGAGAAGTCGCTCGTTGCAGGCATGTCTGATTATTTCGGCAGTTAGATAAATGCTTCTATAATTGGTCCTTATGAGCTCAGGTTTGTTATAATTAATCATTTGGTGAACTTGATTGTTATTTATTTTGGGAAGCCAGAATAATAAAAATCGTATAGGGAAATTATATAAAATATGACCCATAGATCCCAAGAGTACATCCTGGTTTTGCAGCATGATGTTTTAGTCAATTAATAGGTGCCTATGCTTGGTGCTATCAACTGTAGAAGAAATGTTGAGGTTGTTTTCTCTGTTATTAATTTCAAAAAAAGAAAAAGAAAATCTTTCCTTTTCATTTAGATGATTCCAAACAATATTCTTGAAGATATGTATTATTTGCTATTTTGCTGAGAAGAATCTAATCAAAGAAGCTGAGATGCCTGTTAAACTTGTGTTTACAGTGTTCTCTTCTCCATGATATATTTCAATTTGCATACCATACACAATTTCATAAGTTTCACATTATAAGAAAGCCTCATTACTCGATGAAGTAGAATCTATGGAAGCTCCAACTTGGGATATAGTGCGAGGTATATATGTTTCAAAAGAGGGATGAGTTAGGTATTGTGGTTCTTACTTGGTCGTTCTCCTTGAGTTTTAGATTTCCATTTTGGAGTAGGATCCAAGTATGGTCCACATGAGCTTGGTTAAACCGATAAATGCATTTTGCTTGGGTTTTCCCATCTTTGAGGGTTTCTAGTTTGCCTGATTTCTAAGTTTTACTTTTAATAGTTGCATGTTTGATGATAATTGAGGGGAAGCGGTCAGTTGTTTATGGGATAAGATTTGACTTTTTATTCTCTGTTGGTAATTTTTTCTAAGGATTAAGATTTATCATTTTAATGGAATTATGGCAATTGGGGATTAAGAGAGAGAAACAATGAATGGTTCTGTGGATTATTTATATTGTGGACCATGATATAATTGGTGTAAAGTTTTGAGTTTTAGGAGAATTCAGGAATAGTGAGATGAAAGAGATTCTCTTAATTTGGTTCTTTATCTTGCGAGAACAATATGATATAGGGTGAGAAAATTAAAGAAATAAAAGGGAAAGAAAGAAGCAGAAGATGAAAGGAAGAGAGAGAGAAAGAAAAGAGATATAAATGGGAGGAAAGGAAAGAAATAAGAGAGAAAAAGAGTCATATAAGGAAAAATTATTGTAAGAGAATATAGAATTTGGAGAGAGATTAGTAGCGAGCAATTTAATTATTATATTACTTTTGTAATTATTATGAGTAAGATATCGAAAGTTATTATTAAGGAATTGAATAGACCTAGAGGGAGGTAAGTCTATTTTACAATTTTGATTATTTAATCAATCAAATAACAGTTAATTATATCAAACTATAGCAATGGTGGTATCAATTACAAGAATATAACAATCATGGAAATTAAGGATAAAGTTAACTCAACCGTTAAAGGATTTCACAGTTGTGTCAAAACAATTGTGTCCTTGCAACAATGTGCGAAGGACAATGAAGTAAGAGACTGTTAGAAGATAAGTCTTTCTTTAAAGAAAGCTAATCATATGAATATAAATTTTTTATCAAATAAGGTACTAAACATATTAACATCAATCTTAGCAAATAATATAACTAAATTTGAAAACAGTATTTCTTGGTTTTGATTCATTTCTTTCCCAATAAAAAAGATTCAATTCCAACGAGTAAATTAATTGCTTATGCATAGGGTTGGAAAATTTCTTATAGCTTAATCAATTCCAACAATACTATAGATGATGCAAATGAGGCCTAAATTGCTGCTTCTGGAAATTGCCATGAATGGAGTAGAAACATCACATTAGATTCTGAACCTACCCAAAGCACTGCAAACAAACCAAATTTTTGTTGTTACAATGTTATAGTTTAAATTATATTTTTGGGGCTTTATCTATTAGCTTAAACTTTTGAGTAAGTGATACTTAATAGTATTAAAGCTAAAAGCCTTGTGTTTTGAATCCCTTATGTATATGTCTTTCACTCAAATCAAATCAGGTTGATCTTTGTTTCAGTTATCTCAGTTTAGCTTGGTAATCTCACTACATCTATTAGACCTTACAATCGAATCCATGTTGAGAGGGCATATTTGACATTAAAATTGGGTCCAAGTTATTTGTGAGAGAGCGTGGTACACTTAAAAATTGATGTTTGGTCCTTATCAAATAACTTAAGATTTTGGTTCAAAGTGTTTTCTTGACATAGTTTATTTTGGTTTTGCTTGAGAAAAACCATGGCCCTTGGGAGAAATAAGAAAGCAACTGGATATTGACTTGTTCTATGAGAACACTCTCTCCTACATAGTGGCAGAGGAGCCTGGAGTCATGGGTTCAAATTGCTGAAGTGTCATGGTAGTGGAAGGGTTCTTAGCAAGATGCAACAAGGTCGCTTTTCCACATAAATGGCTCTTATGCCATGCCCCGAGGTGCAATGTCAAAGGCCATAGGCTTTACCTTCCCTCATTTACACCATTCAGTCTTACGTGAGATTGTAAAGCTTGTGTTAGGGGAGATTGTTGGCTTCAGGAACCACCTTTGGGGTTATTAGAGGGGCGGAGATTTTTACGATTGCATAGGTGAGGATGTGGTGCTTCTGTGCCAATAGAGTTTGGAGAAATGCGTTTGGGCATTTGGGGGCAGCAGTTAGTAGAAGTGGACAACACCTTTAATTACGCTTGGGTTTTAGTATTGGACTCAATAGGTTTCTTGTGTGAACAACTTGTTCATTTCTGTGTAAATTTATATCCAGTGCATGCTGCTAGTGGATGACAAAACAATAGCCTTGTCCCAGTTGATGTAGTTAACTGATCAATTTGGATATTCACAAAGTTACCCCCCATCACAGGCTAAACTGGAAGGATTCTGTGCATAGGAACTGAGAAGATTTTTATTGAAGAAAAAAAAAATAATTAAGGGTTCAAAGGTACTTTTGTTAAGGAAACAAGTCTACCTCATTAAATACTGAGTAATATTAAGTCTGAAAAGTTTGACCAGACCGAAGATGAAAATGAATTAGAAACAAGGGAATGAAGAACATAGGTAGAGAGTAGGGATAAGGCAATTCAATCTTCATATGGCTCTATTTATATTGAGTATCACACTTCAAATATAATAAAAAACTTGCTTAAATAATGAGTGCTAAAGCTTCAAAAGTTAAATGTTCGTTAAACCTATAATGTTTGCTTTTGCAATTTATGGGTTATAATGTAATTACTAGAATACTCATACTATGAGAGGATATATTAAAAGTTCTTTGCTTCTTTTTTTTTCTCCATTTTCATTTGTGTAAATTTCTCATTTTCGCTTGCAAATTATAGAGCATTCTTTGTTTCATAATTAGAGTTACTTAAAAAGCATGTTGCTTTTGATGGTGGCAGTGAGCACGACTTACATATGGGCTTATTGTCACGACCAGCTTGCTTGGTGACTCAAGTGTGTTGCACGTTGCTTAGTGGCTAAGTATACTTCGTAGCTAAGTAAACTTAGTGGCAAAGGAACTTAAAGGATAAGCATTATCCATCCACATAAGGTTGTCACCTAGTGTTTACTTAAGGATTAAGTATACAGTGTATCTAGTCATATTCTTTGAGGAGGTTTAGCCTATCAATAGGCCACCCCCCCCCCCCCCCCCCCTTCCCTTGTAAAATTCATAAGTTGTAATCCTTCAATACAGAGATTATATTTATCTCCACTTATCTCTCTCATTTGCATATTGTTAGTCTTTGAGTTTGTGTGAGTGTTAGACTGCTTAACACATTTCCGAAGTGTTAAGGCCGCACGGACTTAGCAAAGAAGTTAAGTGCGTGACAAGTGGTATCAGAGCCTCGGTTAGCATGACCTCGGTTATTATTCAATGGCAAAAGACACTGTCGCTTCAACAAAGGGATCTAAGAAGGTTGAGATGGAGGCTTCCCAAGAACGTGGTTGCTCGGAGGAAGTCGACCCCAACCCCTTAAGGCAGAAAGGTAAGTCCAAAGACTTTATTTCCAATTTTGACTCACGTCTATCTCGTATAGAAGAAAGGGTGAGCACGCAATCGGATGAGTTAGATCATCAGGTGGATGATCTAGAGACGGAGGTGTCCGAAACTCACACTGTTGCGAAAGCCATGTTGCTTCAAATGGAGGAGTTGTTAAGGGCCGAAATGGGGAAAATCCGTGAGGAGTTCACAGGGGAGCTTGCCAAAACTTGTCATGTGTTCCAAACCGAAGTCAACAGCACTCTTGTTCGCTTAGACGAGGTGCAAGCTGATTTAGCGCGATGTAAGCGCACCATGGTTGTAAGGACCGGCAGCAACGTCGTTGAAAGCCAAAGGATTGACATACCAAGGCCTAAAAGCTTTGGTGGCTCACGCAAGGCACAAGAAGTTGACAACTTCTTGTGGGGACTAGACAAGTACTTTGGGGCCGTAGGCGTCACGGAGGAAAGCTTGAGGATTGAGATTGCAGTCCTCTATCTTATAGACACCGCAAGGCTATGGTGGAGGAGAAGAGAAGGAGACATTGAAAAAGGTATTTGCACTATCTCTACCTTTGATGATTTTAAGAAAGAGCTTAGGCGGCAGTTTTACCCAAAAAATGCCAAAGATGAGGCAAGAGCTCGCTTGTGAAGGATCAAGCAAACAGGGACAATCTGTGATTACATCAAGGACTTCACCGACTTGATACTGGAGATCCTTGGGATGTTCGACAAAGATTCACTCTTCAACTTTATGGATGGGCTGCAGTCATTGGTGAAAACGGAGCTAAGGCGTCGGGGAATGCAAGACCTTGCCACAGCCATAGCAGTTGCTGAAAGTTTGATTGATTATAGCAGCAAAAAAGAACACACCGGCAAGTCCAAAGATAAGAAGGGCAGCTTTGTTAAAGGTGTGGGAGACAAGGGGCAATCTAAAGAGAGTTACCGAGACATCCGCCAAGACAACTCCTCATCCAAGGGCAAGGACAAGGGCAAACGTTGGGAGAATGGCACCAAAAAACCCCGCAACAACTGTTTCAT